CTGGACATTCGCTCACTGCCCTTCTGGGTGACGCAGCTGAGGCCCAGACAGGTGACAGTGTTGCCCAAGGCCCCCAAGGCGGAGCCCTGAGCAGCCAGCTCCCTGGAGCACTTCTGAGGCCAGCTGCTTTGCTATGCTGCAGGGTCGCCCCAGACCTCTGACTGCTCTTGCCAAGCAGGTGCCCTGGCTGCGAGGCAGGAGGGCGACAAGCAGAAGCCTCGGCAGACTCCCCAGGCAGGTGCTCTGGCCAGAGCCTGAAACTCCTTGAAGTTCACCCTTCTGGCAGGCGGCAGAGTCTCTCACAGCACAGTGGAGGAGAGGACAGGCAGGAGCTTCCTGGAGCTCAGCTCCGACCACGGGCTGTGTTTCCCCTGGCTTGGCCTCTGCTGAGCCCTGCATGCACGAAACCTGCAGCCTCCTAGACTCCACAGGAGCCTGAAGCACCACGTGCCCCAGACTCCCTGCCCGGAAGCACTGCTGCTAGCCAGGCTCTCAGCGCCTAGACTTGATCACCCGGTTTTCCTTGCACACCCGTGGGGCTGCACTTCTCCTGGGCCCCTGCATCAGCTTCCTGGCTGCACCTGCCACCCCGCGACAGAGGCTTCTAGCACTGACTGTGCGGTCACTTCACAAACGTCTTTTTGTCCCCAAACAACTTTTATGGGCAAGTGAGGAAACTGATGCAGAGAGGTAAAGTAACCAGCCCAAAGCCACACGGCGGGAAACTTGCAGAGGCAGATCCGGGCAGCCTACCTGCGCAATCTGTGTTCTTCAGCGCCGCTTTGTGTTGTGACCGCTCCTCGCTCAGCTTCCACACTGACTGCCTGTGCCACAGCCTCTCCAAAGAATCTTTGGTCACCCAACAGCCCAAATTGTAGGTGCCAGAACTGGGTGACAGAACCAGGCGGCAGACACTGCCTGATGCTTTGGGAATGCAGAACCGGTGCACACGTCTTTCCGTCCCTAACGACTCATCACGTGGGCCTCCCTGCCCAGCGCAGTTCCTGGCACGGAGCGGGTGCTTCATGCTTGTGGATGGAAATAAAACACAGCAGGGCCTTGAGCATCCGCTGATGCCAGCAGCAGCCCCGAGTGCAGGGCGGTTGGAAGGAGGAGGGCGGTTTTCAAGATTCTTTCTTTGGACCTTAGGGACTGGTCCCAGGGTTTTTGCTCTGAGCCACACGGAGTCACTACGTGCCAAGGCTGGGCTACAGGGTGACCCTCTTGCCTCAGCCTCCTGGGATTGCACATGTGCACCACCACAGCCAGCTGTCTGGCTCATGTCCAAGGTGTCCTTTCGGCTCTGTCCCCATGCCACTTCCCTCTGTTCTCCTCTTCTCTGTCCCGTGCTGTGGACTGTGCTCACAAGGCTCTGCACCACATCTGAGGTGGACACATAGGACGGAGAGCAAGGGCTCAGAGGTTTTAGCTAAGTGGCCTCCAGCAGGGTTGCAGAAAAGAGCAAGGTACAAGTGTGGATCTGGATTTTAGGGAAGGATCTACATACAGGGTGTTCAGGGTCTCACTACTAGATCAGACTTGTAGTGATCCACCTATTTACGGCCTCCCAAGAGCTAGGATTACCACGCCCAGTCTCAAGGAGCGCAGATCTGGACTGAAGTCCTAGAGCTGGGCGGCCTGGCTTCTCCAAGGATCTCTCGGCTTTTTCCTGAGTCAAGGTTGATGAGTGACAGAGAGCGGCCGGGATGAAGACGCAGGTGGCCTCAGCTGGATGCAGCGCTGGCTCTGCCCGGCAGGGGCCCTCTGACCCTGCCCAGGCTCCTCCCTCCCTCAGTTGTTCCAGCTCATTTCTCCCATCTCCGAACCCACTGGGGGTGCAGAGAGCCACAAGGGTATTGGCATCAGGCCAAACCTGCCTGAGCCAGCAGGGCATAGCCAGTCATTCGTGAGCCACTTAGGACAGTGATGGGTGGCGGGGGGACCTGGGCTCCTGCTCCTCTGGGTGGGGAGGTGGGTAAGCTGGGGCTCCTAGCAGACCTAGGGCCTGGCCGGGGACCTGCTGAGGCAGGGCAGGGACACCCCCCCCAGGCACATTATCCCAACTGCTGCTCCAGCTACCCGAGTGTGACAAGCACTGAACGCAGCTGTAGTGGCAAAGATGGTGCCAGTGTCTGGGGAGAACAGGAGAGGAGACAGCAGGCCTGGAAGTGTCCCCAAAGCAGGGACCAACCAGGCCTGTCACCTGTGAATTGGGTGCTCTACCAATGTGCAGAAATTAGTCCCTGCTTTCTGTCTCCACCTCCGCTTTCCAAGGGTGTGCGTCTGTGGCAGACACCACACCTGACCCTGAGTGGCCAGCATGCGGAGGAGGCTGCTCACTCCAGTCTGGGCCACTGAGGGGCTGGGGAGATGGCTCAGTGGAATTAGCGCTTCCCTGGCAAGCGCAAGGGCCTGAGTTCAATCCCTGGTTCCACCAAACAAGCAAGCAAACAAACAAAAAAAACCCAAAAAGCAGTCTGGGCCACTGTCCCTCAGCCGTCACCCCAGCCCTGTCCTGTCCTCCTGTTCCCCCTCCCCAGAGCCGGCCTGAGCCAGCCTGCCTCCTCATTGCTCCCTGTCCTCCACCCAAGCCTTTTCCAGTCCTCTGCTCAGAGGGCACCATTCAGACCTCAGACTGTACACCCTCCCTCCCCCAAGAGACTATGGGACAGGTCCCCAAGGGCCCAGGCTAGGTGGGTGGCTCAGACTGTATCTAGAGGACTGGCTGGGGTGGAGGTGGTGGGAAATGGGTAACCAGGCAACCAGGCCAAGGGAGGGCCCCCTCCCAGTTCAGAGCAGACCCCAATCTCATTTCCAAGTCCACTCGGGAAGTGCTCGGGCCAAGAGGAAGCCGTGTAGTCCAAAGACTTCCTGGCACCAGGCGCACTGCCCACTTCCTCCT